TCCCCCTCCCCCGATCGGCCCTCGCCTCCCCCCGTCCGTCTCCGCCGCAGCACCCCCCCGTACCTGGTTCTGGGGGCGCCAGGAGCAGGAGGGTGGGGATCAGAACCCCAGGGCCGCCCCGTCTCCGGCGGGTGGCAGAACCAGGGCCAGTGGTGTCTGCCGCCTCGCGCCTCTCTCGCGCCCCGCCGCGTCCCCGCCCGCCTGCCGGTCCGCCCGCCCCGCCGCGGTGCCGCTCCGAGAAGGATGCTCAGCGAGTCAGGGCGGCTGCTCCCGCCGCCGCATCCCTGCAACACCGACTGACGGCAGCATCAGCACCAGTTTCCGCCCCCCGGTCGCGAGCATTGGATCACGCTGCGCTAACGGATGAGCTGCGCAGCCAATGCGAAGGCGCAGAAGCCGCCAGTCCCGCTGCTCCACAGGCCCACGCCCCGCGAGGGACCCAGGCGTCCCAGCCTCCCGGCCTCCGAGTTCTTCCCCGCTTCTCGAGGTCCTTAACCCTGGCGCCTGGGCCCCCAACCAGGCAGACCCCCAACCCAACCCCAGTGACTTTTCCGGAAACCCAGGCGCCCTAGCTTATCGCCCTGGGATCCCGCATCCCCCGGCCCGCGGGCCCAGGTGGCAGCGCCCAGGGCTAGGGGCGAGCCGAAGGGGAGGCTGTGGGCCCAGACTTGGGGCCCCGAAGGAGCAGGTCCTGTGCGGGGCCCGAGCCGCAGCGCCCTCTGCTGGCAACGCCTTGGAGCGGACCCGGGCTGCCCGGAGCCTAGGGACGCGGGCTGCTGGGGGCCCTTTCCAGCCCTTGCCTGGCTTCCGCCTCCCACTGCCCAAAGGCCCCCTGACCGCCCCTATAACTGAGGAGGGCTCTTTCCTGGGAAAAGGACAGAGGCGCGGTGGGGGAGGGAAAGGCAGAGATGGGGGCGGGGTAGACCTAGGGGCTTGGGGTTTCCCAACCCTGCCTCATGGGAATCCCAGAGTTTGAAGCCTGATTTCCAGTCCTGTCTGGAACTCTGGACTGGGATAGGAGTAGGTTGAGGGGTAGGGACGTGGATGCACACTGCCCGGACCACAGAAGGGAAGCTGGCAGCAGCTCACTTCAACCAGAATTTTCGGAGTGAATGTGGTGCTGGGGTGCAGGTCTTCCCTGTGAGGGCGTCTGCATCACCATGCATGGGTATGAGTTTGGAAAGAAGGGGACCCCCTTCACTCACTCATCCAACCCAAGGTGGACCTGGCACCTAGCGTGTGTATCACAAAGTTGGACACTGGGCTTCTGAATGAGGGAGGCAGTGTGTGTGTGTGTGTGTGTGCGTGTGTGTGTGTGAAAGACCATTCTGCCAGCTCACTCCAGGACCCTGATTTCTGTTGCAGGGTCTGTGATCTGCACAGCCAGTGGTAGTTGGTGCTTCCTTAGCCAGAAGCAACATGCAAGAACACTCTCATTCGACCACAAATGCATGCATGGGCACTCGGAGGCGTACTCACAGCCATGCACACCTATCCATGTGCACATAGGCGTTCCCAAGGGGACACACAGGGACACCTGCAGAAATGCCCCCCCATGGTACAACACCTACAAGAAGCATATACTTGCTCAGGAACACACACAAACTTGTGCACACAGGTGCCTGAGGCAGATGCATGCCTTGTGGGGGAACAGGTGTACACAGAGGACCTGCCCACGAGGTCATCCTGCCCCCCCGAGGCACTTTGCACAGTGGTCAATTACTGAGTAGATGCGTGGGGACCCCCCCCCCCCCACCAGAGAGCTCCCTCCCGGCCTGTAAGGGGATGAGAGGGGGACCCAGGCTGTAGGACCCTAGAGGCTGGGAAGAGAGATCCCTGAGCCAGATTCTAGACTTGGGAGGCCTACTCTGACCTTGGAGAGACCCTCAGGATGGCCCCACCAAGGCCACTAGAGGAGCCAGAGAATGGGAACTGCTGAGTCAGGGCCTGTGAATGTGAAATTGCCACTCTGACCCCAGAGCCCACTGCCCTGCCCATCCCCCACTGCTCCTCTCCCTGCAGGCTACACACACACACACACACACACACACACACACACACACGCACACACAGAGACGTGTCCAGCCAGGCAACAGGACACAGATGGGCACACAGACAGGCGCAGTGACTCACAGAGACTTTCTCTCAGACCCTTATAGATGAGTGTGGGAAGGGGTTGGAGGGGGAGGGCAGGGGCAGAGAGAGATGCAAGTGTGAGCACTTGTCTCTGGTCCCCACCCCCAGCTCCCTGGGCCACCTCTGCCCATCAAGGGCAGGAAAGGTCACCTGGCAGCTGCTGCACCTCCCTGCCCCTCCCCCAGCTACAGTGATGTCTCCCCCCACCCAGGTGCAGGCTTCAGAGTACCGAATGTAGGTGGGACCCACCACTTCAAGACACCCCCCCAACAGGCACCCACCCAACGTGGCCCTTCTCCCATGCGCAGTCCAGTGAGGACACACGGTGGAGGAAAAATGCAGCAAATACAGTATGCACGCCTGTGCACACACACGCACACACGCGCACAATGTGAGGCTCATCTGCCAAATTCACACAGGCAACCATGAAAAGGCAGTCACACGTCACAGTCCCAGGCGGAGCAGACCTGGGCACACATCTGCAAACACACACACTGGGAAGAGGCCAGGCTGGGGCTGGGGGGTGACAGGGAGAGGAGCCAGCCGACCGGGCTGCAGGGATGGAGGCAGCGTAGGGGAGCGAGCTGCTCTTCACAGCACAATCGCCGTCTGTTGTTATAGCAACTCAGCCCCCAAATCGTGAAACGGATATTACAGCCTCCAGAGGAGGAAGGAAGGGAGGGGGCTGAAGATGGAAGGAGGGGCAGTGCGGGGGACCCAACGGGGGACAGGGCTGGGGGGCCCAACAGGTGGCAGAGCTGCAGCTGAGAAGTAACAGGGTGGGAGGAGGAGGTACCCCAGATGAGGAATAGGCCAGGGGGAGTGGGATCTCAAAGGGAAAGATGGGCATGGGGTCAAGGCAGTTTGAGGGAGGGGGCTGAAGCCATTGCCATGTCCTCAGATATTGTGCTTTGCACGTAGGAGTTGGGGTGCTCAGGTCTCCACTCCCAGGACAACCTGCAGTTGCTGTAGGACATGCCTCAGCTTGGGGGAGGGGGGCTGGGGAGATAGCTCCCATTCTCAGAAGGCTGTCTAGAGCCTCCTCACCCCAGGGGCAGCCTGGCTCAGCTTCAGAAACTTTCGAAGACCCCCAGTCCACCCTCCTCACCAAGACCAGCCTCTGAAGTGGCCTTAGCCTTCCTCAGGTAGTGGTGACCCCCAAAACCTCCATGCTGCAAACCCGGGAGGGAAGAGCTGGGTCGGGAGAGGCTGCCAGAGGCTGACAGCAGGATCAATATGCATTTCCTCTGGAAGTCCCTGTCCTTCCGGCTGGCAGCAGCGCCAGGCCAGGAGGCTGCAAGCCCAAGGAGTGTGCCCCCCCTCGCTCCTTACCCCACACCCAGCACTCAGGGCTGCCCCCTCCCTCCCATGATTCTCTGCAGTGAGCTCCCCGTTGCTGGAAGTATACAAGCAGAGGCTGAAAGACCACCTGTCAAGCAAGGGAAATTCAGCTGCGGGCTGAAGGCTATGGCTATACATGACCACCAGGCTCAGCAATTCTACTTTCAAGTTTTAGGCCCCCAAGATTCTGGACTCCTAGAGATTCTAGACCTCCCCCCAAAACCCTCTGTTCCACGGTTTCCTGGTTCTAAGGCTCTATCCCCCACAATTCTACCTCCCCCCAAGATTCCAGACATATGAGATTCCAGATCTCCCAAGATTCTCTGACTACAGAGTTTTCAGCGCCACAGTTCTAGTCCCTGTGATTACGGACCCCTGCCCTCTGCCCCCCGCGAGGATTCTAGGCACTGATAGTCCAGGTTAATTACTTGGGCCTTTATTCCATCTGGAAAACACAAATATTCACAAGAATCTGTACAACCTTAGGGACACCAGCCCTGGCCCTGCCCTCAGCCGCATGCCACCCTCACACCCCGCCCCCCGGCCCCGGCCTGCTGCCGCAGCACCCCAGGCTCCCTGCTCTGGTCCAAGTCTTTTCTCCAAAGCAGGCATGAGTGCTTGATCCAGTCACAGCTGGGAAGAAAAAAACAGAGGTTGTGAGGAAGACCCTCCCCCCTCCCCAAAAAGCAGGATTCCACCTGGCCTGGGCCATTTGGACAGAGCATCTGTCCCACTCATCCCCCCATTTCCCCAGCCCTGAGTGGGGAGGCTCTGCCCAGGCTGCAGGGGGGCTCACCATCAATTACAAGTGTATGTCAAACACGCCATCCTCCACCGTCTGAACCTCCTCCTCTCGGATCTCTGCAGGGAGGGGGGTGTCACAGGACCAATTCCTGGGTCCCTGTGCCCTCAGCAGCCCTTCTCCCCATCACTGGAGGCACCCGGCCCCATCCCAGAAGCAGAACCATCCACCAAAAATCAATTCACTGAATGACCAAAAGGCCCAATTTTTGAGGCTCTTTTTCTACGTTTTCATTTTGCCACAGCTTTTTTGCAGCCACAGATTTATCGGTGCGGTTTGCTTAAATGTCAGTTTTGTGTGTGTTTTACATTTTAGACCCCAGCACTTCTGGAAGGCTCAATGCAAATGGTTTCATCTTTTCTGTATTTGAGAACTTATGCCCTGTGCCTGCCTCTATTTTTGAGGACTTATGCCAGTCTGAACAGTTGTGGTCAACTGCCTTAGACCCCAGTTGAACATGGTTGTTCAGAGTGTTCTCAGCAAAATAATCATTTGAGGAATTGTCATTCAGAAAACTGACCTAGAACCACGAATGGCCCCAAGAGAGCTGCTGGGAGCTTTGGGGGGCAAGGGACTTTTCTCAGAATAGCCTCCAAAGCAGCCAGAAAGGGAAACACAGGCAAATGGCTCACAAAACTCCCTCTCCAATCCACTGTCAATCCCCCTAACAAAATAAGAGTGCAAATTGAATCTTTAAGTCTCTTTCACGTTTACTCTTTTTTATTTATTAGTCTCTCTCCTCCTCAGCCTCAGAGGGTTGAGGGCTCCCTGGTTACCTTCTGACACTCTTACCTGTCCAGCCCTTCTCCATCACCCTACCAAAATAAGACAATTACAAACTCTGCAATAATTTCCAACCTGGAGACGGTAATACTATACCACCATGGCCTTGCCTCCCTCCCTCCACAGGCCAGTACAGAAAGAGACCCCTTCTTACCTGGAGGCCGGGAGCCTCGCCTGCCAGGGCGGGGCAGGGAGAAGCTGAAGGCGCGATGGTGGGTATGTGTGGGTGAGGGTGAGGGTGCAGACCCCTCCAGACTCACACTCTGGGCCCGGCGCCGGCATTCAACTGACAGACGATCCTTGCACTGCTTGTGGCAGCTAACACCACAGGCTGGGGAGGCAGATGGGGAGCCCAGCCAGATCAATTGATCAGAATACCCTTCACCCCATTCCGCAGGCCTGCACCTCTCCCCAGGTCCCTTTGCTCCTGAGCAGCTGCCCCACCAAAACAAAAGCCTCATTTCCAAGTGCTCTCTTCATCCTACTTGGCAGTCTGTGCCCTCTCCAAAGCTCCCTGTTCCTGGGCAGCTGCCTCACCAAAATAAAGGCCCTGGTTTTTGTTTGTTTGTTTGTCGTTGGTTGTTTTTTTGGGTCTTTGGTTTGCTTGTTTTGGTTTTTGGTTTTGGGGGGGCTTTTTTGGCAGCACTGCGAGGCAGGCAGGATCTTACCTCCCAGACCAGAGGTCGAACCCACACCTCCTGCAGTGGAAGCACGGAGTCTTAACCACTGGATGGCCAGGGAAGTCCTGACAAAAGCCCTGTTAAAGGCCTTCACATCAATCAGCCTCTCTGGCTCTAAGGTACTTGACTCCTTGGCAATTACCCCACCAAAAAAAGAATATTCACCCAGATAGTAACTCTTCCCAAAAAACTCAGCCCAGCAGCCTTGCAACTCCATCTCACCTCGGCATTTGAGGCCCTGCTTGTAGATGCCCAGGATCTGAAATAGAGGAGGGGGCCGTAGTGGGGGCGAGGGGTTTAGAGGGGATGACCCTACTTCTTCCTTTCCATGGGCAGGGAGTGGGACTGACCCTTTCTGGAGCCTTAGGGCCCCCTCAGGGTTTTGTTCAGAACAGCAAGAAGAGAGGCAGGTGGAATTAAGGTTTGCCTAGGCTGAGAAGGCTCTGTCAGGGGCGGGGCCAGAAGGGAGGGCGGGGTGTGGATGGGGCGGGGCCGGTGCTGGAGGGATGTGGCTTGGGCGGGGGCTCACCAGGGCCTTGCAGTGGCGGCAGGCAACCGGGCGCAAGGAGTTGCTCTCGTGGAAGCTGTGTACGAAGCCCATGCGGCCACCCAGCACAGAGCTGGAGCGCAGAAAGTAGGAGACCATCTCCTCCTTGCTGATGCAGCCATCCCTGTCCGGGAAGGGGGAGGGCCTCAGCTCTGGGGGCCTCCCTGGGACCACCCACCACCAGCTTAACCCATCCCACTGGGAAAAACCCCTACCAAGTTAAAGGTCCTCACCGACTCCTGATTTTGGACCCCTGGTGCAGGAAAGAGAAAGAACACTAGACTTGGAGTCAGGCAGATGTAGTAGCTGCTACTAACTAGTTGTGTGGTCTTGGGCAAGTCACTTGCCCTGGGTTTCCTCCCTGGAAAAATGGGGATCATAATTCCTGCCCTGCTCACTTCACAGAGTTGGTGTGTAAACTAAAATTGCTCTGCACTTTCCCATGGGATTATCAGCTTCTGTTTCCCAGAGTGAGCTCTGTGGAACACCAGTCCGGAGCCCTGAGAATTAAGAGATCTCTGATGAGTTTGGGGACCAGGTAAGACTGGGAAAAGCTGCACCTGTCTCACTCTTGCATAATCCTGCCAGAAAGGTAATCCAGGGCTTCCCCACGGAGCCCTTTTTTTTCATCCATTCACATATTTTAGGGAAAGGGTGAGCACGTGCTCTGGAGATGGACAGAACTCAGTTCAAATTTGGGCTCTACTTCTCTGTGGGACTTCAGGCCCCATCCCTCGGTTTCCTCTTCTATAAATGGGGACGATGATAGTTCCTACGCCTCAGAGGGCTTTGGGTAAGGCTTAAATGAGATAGTGCACATGGAACACTGACAACAGCGTCTGTAATGGTTAATAGATGCTGGGCCACCGGCAGCTATTTCCACCAGGGGTGGCCCTTGTCGGAAACGCCTGCCCATTGTATCTGGGTGATCCAGGTGGTCCTTCAAATCGGTGGTACATTGGGACGACTGATGGTTTATTAAAATAGGTAAACCTAGGCTCCTATCTCACACTGTTCATGAAAACTTAATTCCCACTAAATTCAGAACACTAATGTAAAAAATAAAATTTTCAAAGTATCTGAAAAGGTATAAGGGAAGAATTTTGTAATCTTGAGGGGATGAAGGCCTTTCTACGCATAACACAAATCCGAGAAGCCATAAAGGAAAAGACTGACATATTGAGCACACATTTTAAAAAAATTTTATATGGAAAAGGACAACGTAAATGACAGACTGGGAGAAAATATTTGCAAACATATTCAACACCAAGGGTTAATATCCATTAACAGAGATTCCAGAAATCAATGAGAAAAAGACTCACAAACCCAGTGGAATAATGGACAAAGGACATGAACAGGCAATTTACAGAAGAAATAGAAGTGGCCAGTAAACATATGAAGAGCTCCTACCCCCACTAGTATTAAAGAAATGCGAATTTAACCAAGACGCCATTTGCCAATTAGACTGGCAAAATTGTAAAGCTTATTATAGCATCCACTGTTGGCAAGGAAGTTGGGAAATGGGCACTCGTTCACTGCTGATGGGAGTGCAAGCTGGCACAACCTTGCCTGAGGTCACCTTGGCAGTCTCTCTTCTAATTTAGAATGTGCATATCTTTTGATCCAATTATCCCACTTCTAGGAATTTCTCCTACAAAAATAGTGGCCTGAGTGCATGGGTACAAAGATGTTCACAGTAGCATGGTGGATATTAATAGCGAAAAACTGGGAACAGTCTACATGTCCATCAGCAGGAGAATGGTGAGGCAAATGATGGCCCAGCCACACAGTATAATACTCTGCAGGTGTTCTAAAGAATGAGGTAGTAGTTCTGCACGAATCGGCCTGAAAAGATGTCCACGATGAGGGTTTAAGTGGAAAACAAAAGCACGCAGTTCTGTCAAGACAGTGATTGAAAAACAAAAACAAAAAACCCTGAAAACCCTACTGCCACAAATACCCAGATGCTGGTTAAAATATATCAAAAACTGCTTTAAATGCATAGGTGAGTTTGTAAGAAATGGAAACCCCCAAGTTTCAGAAACAAAGAGAGATCTTCGAATTGAGGCAGTGAGCTGTGGCTGCCCCAGGAGCCGGATGCTGGATTTTGATACCTGCCTGGGGCCTGCAGGAGGTGGGGAGTTAAGGCTGAGACGCCTGCATGAAGCTGACGCCTTGAAGGTCTCCAAGGGCTGCACCCTCCCTAAAAGTGTGGCCAGGAAAAACTCCACCCTAACGCAGGGAGGTGACGGAACTGTTTTCAACTCAGAGAAAACTCTGTTTTCAACTATTTGTTCCCAACGCTGGGAGGAGAAACAAAGCAACTACAATGAACGCCACTGGTGGAACTAGATTTATACCAACATCCTGTTTGTCTGTGAAACAGACACAGACAAATTCTCTAACAATTTGCAACACGCATGAAAAAAAGACTGGAAAGATACAGGCACTGCCAGGCCAGTAATGTTACTAACATAGTTACTAATGACAACCTCTGAGTGGGAAAGGAGGGAGGGAATTTTCACTTCTTACCTTATACACTTTGCTCACTATAAATCTATTTTACTACCTGGATTTTTTTTTAACCATGCATTTTTATAATATGGGAAAAAACCCAGCTTTTTGAAATATGGATAACATTGAAAAGTAAATCGACCTGGGATGGACTATAAATTTTGATTGGAATTTTGTCCGCTCAGCAAAACCAGGGTGTGAACGTGGTTGCATGTTTAACCTACTCCAGAGAACCAGCCGTTTGTCCAAATTGTCAGCATGCGAATTGTGAATTGTTGATGAGCAAGTGGGTGCTGCTAACTGCAGGCCTTTCTTATCTATTCATTAAGACAGGCTACCCAGGAGTTCAACGTGCCCACACTTTTTGCCAGCTGTGAGCTCCACAAATAAAATGGCATTTATGTAGCAACAGTCCCCAGGCCGCCGTCTTTGCAAGATTCAGGTGAAGTCCCCCCACCCCGTCTTCGGTCTGAATAAGTGAGGTAACCCTGTGCCTCTGCAGCTGGCAGCCTCCCCGAAAATAAGAGCCCCTCCCCACATGGGTGGCTTCCTCCCTCAAGATCATCTGGTTCAATGTCCTCATCTTGCAAGGGAGGAAACTAAAACCCAAGGGGAAGTGAGCCTCCTTTCCCTCTCCCCCTGCCCCCAGGCCTCCTCACTGGTTCTGGTCGAGGTCCCCAAAGGCGCTGAGGTAAGGAAAGTTCCCACGGATGATCTGGAACTCCTCCTGTGAGATGTGGCCGTCCCCATCGACATCGAAGTTCCGGAACACAGACTGGAGTACATAGAGGGACACATTGGGGAGGGGAGGATAAAAGGAGCATCGGCCCCACCCTGCCCACATTCCCAGTCCAAGTGATGAAGGGCGGGCGTCTCATCTGTGGGCAGCTGTCTGTCTCCCCCACCACCTCCCTTCTCCGCACCCCCATCCCAACCCCACGCATCAGCTGCGCCCCATGCCTTCTGGAGACTGAGTGTTGGCCATTGAACCTGGCACTGGTGGTGGCTCCCAGGGCAGTGCCCTGGCAAAACTAGCCTTGATTGACCACTACGGACCTGTCCCCCCACCCCGCAGACTCCAGAGCTGGCTGCCACGGAGTCTCACCTCCACCATCTTCTCAATGTGCTCCACCATGAGTGCCTGATCCAGCTTGGGTTTGGCCGCTGAGGTCCACTCCTCCAGCACCGGGGGCCGGGGAGGCGGCGTGCAGCTGGTGGGGCTGGTTGGCTGTGGGAATGGTCAAGGCTGAGAGAGGGCCAGAGGTGAGGAAGCCCAGGGCCCAGTGGAGGAGAGAGGGCAAGCCCTGGGGACAAGGAAGCCTGCCCAACGAGCAGGATGGGTGAGGTAGCCTCTAGTCTTGGAACTCCCAGGAGGGCAGAGGTGGGGGAGGAAGAGGACGGGCCGAGTGGGTAAGCAGCGATTCCGTCCCTCACCGAGGACTTGGAGCGCGGTTCCCGCTGCAGGGACAGCTGGTAGAGCTCATCCTCTGTCTGATACTGATCCAGAGACACCTGGGACACACAGGTCTGATCACGCCCACTGGCCTCCGCTGCTCTCAGGAGCCCACTGCCCAGAACTCAGACCCACAGGTCCACCTAGAGGTCGCAGCCCAGCCCCGAGCCTGGCCCAGAAGCTAGACTCAGGACAAAGGCCAGCTTAGAACACATCCCAGCAACCACACGCCAGCCTAGCACACAGACCAGAACCTGTATCTTGGCCCCAAACCTTGAACACAATGCACTGTCAAGATCTCAGCCAAGAATCCAGGTCACAACCCAGCTGAGAGCTCTGAAATTCCCCCCCACAACATAGAACCCCACCCAGCAACCAGACTCCAGCCCAGATTTCAATCCCCATCTCAGTCCAGAACCTAGAAACAGGTAAGACTTCACACCAAACCTTAAAACCTAAGCCCCAGCCCAACGATTAGAACCTAGTCCAGATCTGGACTAGAACCCAACTCCTACGCTAGGGCTCAAAACCAAGTCCAAGACCAAGCCCAGAACCTCAGAGCTCAGGGCCGTGTTTAAAAGCCAGCCCTGGGGAACTCCCTGGCGGTCCAGGGGTTAGGACTCGGCCCTTTCACTGCCGAGGGTGCGGGTTCCATCCCTGGTCAGGGAACTAAGATCCCACAAGCCATGAAGCACAGCCAAAAAATAAAAATTAAAAAAATAAAATAAAAGCCACCCCTATACCCAGAATCCAGAGTCTGACCCCAAACCTTGAACACAGCCCACTGCTAGGAACTCAACCCAGGGCCCAGGCCCAGCCTCAAGTCCACATGCCAGCCTCAGGGGCCCACAGCCCCATCTGGAGCCTAGAACCCTTCTCCAAGTTCACCCCAACCTTGGGGCCCAGGCTGGGTGTCAGTTCTTCGATCATAACTTGAGAACCCGAGGCCAAGCCTGCGGGACCAGGCGCAGCTGTCGACCCTGCTGCCTGGCCACTCACCGTCAGCAGGCTCAGAAGGTCGGGGTTGGCTTGCACCGGGGGCTGGAGGCTGGTCACCATGGCCAGCTCCTCCAGGATGCTGAAGAGCTGCTTCATCTTGGCCCCATTAAGTCGGGTCCGGGTGGGGTCCAGCCAGTCAGGCAGTGCCAGCTGCAGGGCCACCAGGTCCTTGAGGTGCACGCCCAAGATGGGGAAGCGGAAGCCCACGCAGGCTGCCAGCCGGCGCCGGTAGTTGCCATAGTTGCCAGTGGCCGTCACTAGTTCTGTCAGACCTTCCCAGAGCTGGGGGACAAAGGGCAGAGGGTCACACATACACACACACACACACACACACACACACACACACACACACACACACAACACACACAC